CTTATAGGAAAGTCATAGAAGATAGGAAAGAGAATTCACTGACTCACTCACTCACTGACAAAATTAAAAAAAAAAAAAAGAAAATGATGCTACGGTTGGGGGGTCACCACAACACGAGGAGCTCTATGAAAAGGTTGTGCCATCAGGAAGGTTGAGAACCGCTGCTCTAGTGGGATGTTCCACTTTAGACCAGGTAGAAAATGTGCTGTGGTCTTCCTCGTAGGGCTGTTAGGTACGTAAGTGCCTTTTGAAGCATGGCAGGAGAAGGTTTTGTTGTTGTTTTTTTAAATTACGGAATCATTTGATTGGAGCAGGGGGAGCTTTGCCAATAGGTAACTGGTGGATTCGGAGGGGGAGGGAGTGCTGCCGAGTGTGTCATCCAAGTCTGAGCAGGTAACCAGAGCTGCCCACAGGGGCCCCTGCAGGGTGCAGAGAGCATCAGGGAGGTGTGGGAACAGCTGGAGCACACTTCTGACATGTGGTTGCCAGTTTATAAACAGTACCCTACAGGAAAGCAAATTGGCCGCCTTGATGTCTTTTAGAAGCTTCTAGATACTAATCAATCTAGGCATCCCTTTCAATCTGCTTCACCTTAGAGTCCCCCCCCCCACACACACACACAAACACACACCACATGTACGTTGCAGGAAAACAAATTTAAATCATCTAAAGGGCCACAGAGTGGCCTCTGATTATCCACACTGTCCCAGAAACAAACATGCGCAAACACCAGGCTGGAGTTCCAGATGAAACGCAAAGACGCTTCTGGATGCGACATGACTGTCCAAAAGGCAGGATGAGAACCAAGAGTCAAAATCATCAGAGTCTCAAAGTCAAATGGAAAACATTTGATAGGCTCTCCTGTGGGGTCTGGGCAGTGTTTTGTTCTAATCCATGTATGTGGGGGCCACTGGGGTTTGTCTGTGACCAGCAGGCAGCCTGATGCTTTGACGTGCTCCCTGCTCTTCCTTGTCCTGTTCTGAGCCGTTGGGATGGTGGCCAATGCCCTCAGAAACCTCTCACTGCCAGCAAGTGGATTCCAACTCAGAGCGACCCTAGAAGACAGAGTGGAACTGTCCCTGTGGGTGTCCCAGACCGAAAATCTCCATGGGAGCAGAAAGCCTCATCTTTTCTCTTTGGAACAGCTGGTGGTTTTGAATTCTTAACCTTTACACTACCAGGACTCCTGACAATTGCCCCATACACTTTTCATTATTTGCCGTGTGCCCACGGAAATGACAGATGATAGACTGAGATTTTTCAGGAATGTTCAAACCAATGATTCAAAAGCATCTTGCAAGGACAAGATAAAACCTCTGTAAAACTCAAAGCGCCATGGTGCAAAAGGAGCCAAGCTGTGATGTGAGAAGGCCCTAGACCTCACAGCCTCTCCCAGGAGGCTGAGGCGGCTGGATCTTGGATGCCTCAGGGGCCACAGCAAACATGGCACCTTCGACAGCCCAGTGCTGCTGCCAGAAAGGCCGTGGAAGGAAATGCCATCCGCTCTGTTAAATCAAAAGCAAAGAGGTTGAATAGGAATGGAAGCACTTGGAAATGGGAAGCTAAGTGCTGGGACAAGCAGCAGGGAGAGCAGGGGCGTGGCTCACAGAATTTAGTAACTAACAAGCAGAGTTCTCATTGGCTGACATTCACAAAGTCCTGAGTGCATTTGTGGAGAAATTCACAAATATTTAAAAATAAGATCCCCCCTCCCCCCCCCGTTGTGTGCGTGTGTGTGTGTGTGTTTTCTGTCTTTGCTCTTTTTTTAAAACAGTTTTACTGGAACATAATTTACATATCATACAATTCAATAGCTCAATTGCTCAATCATAGTAAGGAGAATTGTACAAGCATCGCCACATCAATTTTACAATATTGCCCCCACCACCTCTGTGGTTAAATCGTCTTTAAAATGAGCCGTGCAATCACAATCAGTTCTAATGCTCCTCCCACCCCATCCACCCCCAGCCCACCCCATTTTTTTATGCCTAGAGCCTGGATGGTGTAGTTGTTATGTGTTGGGCTGTGATCTGCATGGTCAGCAGTTCAAAACCACCAGCAACTCCACGAGAGAAAGACTGGCTTTCTACTCCTGGAAACAGTTACCGTCTCGGACACCCACAGGGGTTGAGTCAGCACTGACACGATGGCAGTGGTTTTGGGGTTTGGCGAGACTGATGTATATTGAGACAAGTCTAAGCTTCCTGGAATGTTTACGTTACTTGCACATCCTTGACTGTGTGTTCTGGGAAGTGCAAATGTCCTGTCTGTCTTCCTCTCCCCAAGGTCACTATCTGGCCAGCCTCATACAGTCAAATTAGCTCAAAGGCCTCCAATCTAGGAGCTACTAACAATGGCAGCAGTAATCACAACAAGCCCCGGAGGCTAATGCATTGCCACTGAGTGGATTCCAATTCATGGTGACTCTGACGGAGTTGTTGTCGTGTCAGGTTCTGAGATACAGTGACCCTGTGTACAACACAACCAAACACGACCTGGTCTCCTGCTCCGTCCTCACCACTGTCCCTCTGCTTGAGCCCCTTGTTGCAGCCACGGTGTCCATCCATCTGGTTGAGGGCCTTCCTCGTTCTCACTGACCCTCCACCCAGCCTGATGTCCTTCAGGATTGACCTCTCCTGAAACATGTCTGTCAGGGGAAGCCAGCCTCTAACAACCCAGGTGTCCGTCGGCGCAATTGTACAGAGATAATATATAAAGCTTATAGGAAAGTCATAGAAGATAGGAAAGAGAATAAAATAAAGGAGTCAGACACATTTCATGGTAGCATGCTCACCTCAGCCCCTCTTGGTGGTCCACTGGAGGTGGGAGAAGAGAGAGTGGGAGAGCATCTTCACTGTCTTGGGATATTTATAGGTAGCCATAGGACATGCATATTAAGCAGTTACATAGGTCACAAGGTTGGTGTTAGCTAAAGCTAAAGGTCCCTGCACACACAGGTGAGGAAACCCAATACCTGCGTTGGGGGAAGGTATTGGGGGAGGGGCCTGGGTGGGAGGAAATAACCAAATAATGTCTGCTTCTATAGGGAGATAGAATCAACCATGTGCTCACTTTAAGGCAGCATAACTGTTAGGGGAGAATCTGTGGGAATGATATTTAAAGCAGGATAATATGCTTGGACTTTATCTCTAACTTCCTAAAGTGGTGGCTTCCCCACTATGGAATACTAGTGGCTTTCCAGATTCCCTCTGTTATAAGTTAGGGAATATAGTCCTAGTCATATTTCCCTCAGTGTTAGTTTCCCACAGACGTCCAAGTTCTGGCTGTACTTCTTCCAAGACAGATTTGTTTGTGCTTTTAGCAGCCCACAGTACTTTGAATATTCTTCTCCAGCACCACAATTCAAACGCATTTTTGTCTTCCTCATTCAACTTTGGTTCAACTTGCTTAGGAGGTGATTGAAAATACCATGGCTTGGGTCAGGTGCACCTCAGTCCTCCAAGTCACATCCTGCGTTTCAACACTTTGAAGAGGTCTTGTGCAGCAGATTGGCTCAACACAAGGCATCGCTTGATCTCTTGACTCCTGCTTCCAGGAACATAGATGGTGGATCCAAGCAATATACACATGCACATCAATCAGTGTTGGAAGTACAGTTTAATGAGCATACAGACACATATTGTCAATACTCTTCCATCTTGGCTACAACTGTTGTCACCCTGTGGCTGCAGAGGGGATTAGAACACAGGTCCTACAGCCTACTCCCTACATCATGATCCCATAGGCTCCTTGTGAAGACCATGAGCCACATGTGCTCCGGGCAGTCAGGCAGGGCCTGGGCACACTTCCACCCATGGCTGCCCTCCTCACTCTCTCCAACCTGGCATAGTGGAGGTTCAGTGGGTGGGCTGGGGTCCCCTTAAGGTCTGGAGTGGAAGGGTGATGTGGACTTCCCCAGGAGGGACTTGGGTCTTGCGGCAAGCAGATAGAAAGGGGCTATCCTGGGCAATGGCGGAGTCCTCCTCCAGGAGTGTGTGTCTGGGTGTATGTATGTGTGCTGTGTGTGTGTGTGTGTGCGCTCACATGAGCCCTCTCACGCTCATACTCCAGCTGAGGCCCCGCGTAGGTGGGTTCAGTGACTCTTCCTAGACAGGTGTCTTAGCATAGTCCTCTCCACGACAAGCTCTGTGGGTGACAAGGGAACAGGGTGGGCAGGGTGCACAGTAGGGCGCTTGATGACCCAGGTGGCCCCACAGGCACAGGTGACCAAGCTGGGCGAGGAGATGAGCTTGCGCTTCCTAAAGAGGGAGGCTAAGCTGTGTGGCTTCCTGCAGAAGAGCTTCCTGGCGCTGGAGAAGGTGAGCTGCCGGCTGGGAAGGTAGAGGTGAGGGGGAGCAGGGGAACTACAGGTGGGAGGTGGAGGGCCTAGTGGCTGAGGGGCCTGCAGGTGGGGCCAGAGGTCAATGAGGAAGGATGTGGGAGCAGCCAGCAGTTGGATTGGAGCATGGGCCAGGGTGGGGTGCATGCATGGCTGCGCCCGCTGATGGAGATTGAGAAATGGTTCCCTAGTTGCGGTGTGGGGGCCAGGCCTTGGATGGAGGGACTGCGGGGAGGAGCGGGACGTGACCAGAGGGCGTGGTGATGCGGTGTGGGCGGGGCCTGTTGGGCGGGGCCCGGGGGGGCCCCTCAAGCCGATGGGCTCGCCCTGGGCGCAGAAGATGAAGTCCGCGGAGGGCGCCCGGCTGCAGGCGGAGACCGGCCTGTGGGAGGAGCTGGAGAACCGCTGGCAGAAACTGCAGGAGCAGAACGCCGAGCACGTGCTGGCCCAGCGAGGGCAGCGTGAGGTCCGCGGGCTGGACGTAAGCTTGGGCCCGGGTGGGCGCAGTCGGGGCTGGGCGGGGCTGGGACAAGGGGTCTCAGGGCCTCTTTGCCCAGCAGCAGGAAGAGTCCCACCTTCTAGAACAGTGCCGGGGCTTGGACAGGGTCGTGGCCCAGCTAACCAAGTTCGTCCGACAGAACCAGGTCTCCCTGAACCAGGTCCTGCAAGCTCGGTGGGTGTGCGCAGGGAACCAGGAGGGGGGGTTGGGAATGGGCCAGCCCCCAAAGGGTCAGGCCCTTGGATTCCCCAAAGAGAGCCTCTGGGCTCTCCTAAAAGCCCTGGAGCCAAGGGCACACTCTGCTCCTCCTCTGGACACTGAGGGTGGTCACTCCATGCCTCCAGCTCCAGGGATGTCATAGGGCACTTGGAGAACAACCAGTCCGGAGAGCTGGCCACCTACCTGCAGGAGAACCTCGAGGCCCTGCGGCTGGCCGGAGAGCTGGCTCAACAGGAGACTCATAGCATGCTGGGGCTGGTGAGTGGTCAGGAGCGTGGGGTGTACAGCACATGGGGTCGAGTCCGCTCCCTGCACACAGACGTGCACACACCCTCCACGGGATATCCTTGTCGTCAGCTCAGGGAGAAGAACCAGAGCCTGGAGGTGTCCATGGAGGAGCTGACCAGGCAGGTGAAGGACCTGGGAGCTCACTTGTCAGCCCTGAACTGGAGGCTGGACTTGCAGGAGCAGACACTGAGCCTCCGGCTGTCTGAGGTGAGCCCAGGGCAGACAGTGGAGGGAGGAGTCCCTCCAGAAAGATGGGGGTGGGTGTGGCGCTCAGGATGACCTGACCTGGCCCAGCAAACTCCTGGAGACCCCAGTTGATTGGGCTTCCGGGGAGCCTGATGACCAGGGCAGCATGGGGCAATGGCCCTTTAGAACTTGTCATCTGAGCAGCGGACTGAGATACAATCTATGCACCACACGCCTGCATGTCTGCAGCGGGGTGGAGGGGTGGGGGGGCGTGCAGTGGTTTCTAGCACAGCCCTTGTACACTCAGCTTCAGAGTGTGCCCAGCCCCTTCTCAGGAAGCCCCACACCCCCTTGAGAGGGTATTCACCTCCCCCAGACCACCCCCTCACCCCCACCCCTAGACAGCCACTAATCTACTCTCTGCTACTTATGTGTGTGCCTGCTCTCTCACGATGTCATGCACAAGCGTCCTGGTGACGTAGTGGGTACAAGCTGGGCTGCTCTCTGCAGGCTCAGCAGTTGGAAACCACCAGCTGCTCAGCTCTGGGGAAGGGAGGCAGGGCTCTCTGCTCCCTGTGCTGTTGGGTTTGAGATGTCTCCTAAGCAGACCCATCCAGTGCTTGCCTGTTGTTTCTGAGTTGCCCTCAGGGTGGTGGTAGCATTTTTCTTTACGGCCAAGTCATGTGCCTTTGTCTAGGGAAGGGCCACATTTTGCTAGTCCATTCACGTGTGTGTAGGGAGGATGTGTGCTTAGGTTACATCTACTTTTAACTGTTGTATGTACTTTGGGGGAGACCCTTTGGATTTTTCTCGGGCCTGCCGTGTGGCCTCACTGGGTGTGTGTGTGGTCAGAGCAGCCCGGATGTTCCCGGGGGTCTCGCCTGCTGTCTTCTCTTGCACATGCTTATGGACAGCTACTTGCCCCCCATCTGTGCTCTGCAAATTTGGGGGACACTCTGTGAGTGTGCCAGCTCGGCCACCCTGGGCCAGGTTCAGAGTGTCTACTTGTCTGTGTCCATGCCCAGAGCCAGGTGGGCGCTGGTGGCCACACCTACCTCGGGTGCTCTCTGCCTGGAGTGTGGGCTTCTGGGTCCCACAGACACTACCCCCAGGACCCCCAGGGCCTCCACTGGAGGGGTCCACCACCTACCCACCTGTCCTTCCTCTGGGACTCAGGCCCTCGCGGGGCTTTGCTTGTCCCAGGTGAAGAATGAGTGGGAGGGTCCCGGGAGGAAGCCCTTGGAGGACCTGGCCCGGTGGCAGCAGGAGACAGAGGTGCACCTGAGGGAGGTGCAAGAGAAGGTGGACAGCCTTCCCCAGCAGGTGGGTGGGGATGTGGGGGACGGGCACATCCCCACCCACCCTGCCCCTGTTCCCTGCTGGCCTGTGCCAAGATGACCCACTCTTCCCCCCTCCTCCCTTTCCCATGTCCCCCATTCCCCTTCTCTCCCCCTCCCCCGTGTCTCCCTCCTCTTTCTCCCCTCCCTCCCTTCTTCCCCTCCCTTTCTCAGCACTCTGCCTTCTTCTCTCCAACTCTGCTCCCCACCCTCTCGATTCCATCTTCCCTTTCCCTCCCCCCTCTCCCTTCCACTCCTCCCCATCTCACTCTCCCCTCCCCAGCTGTTTCATGCTGGGGGCTTGGGGGAGCAGGGGTGCAGAGGGGAGGAGGTGTCACCAGCCTGCCTGATGCTGCCTCTGGCCCTGGCCTGCCTGTGCTCAGATAGAAGGGGTCTCAGACAAGTGCTCCCTACACAAGAGTGAGTCAGACCTGAAGATCGCCACGGAGGGCAAAGCCAGGTAAGGGTGGGCAGCAGGGGACACCCTTCCTTCCTCCTTGTCCTGCCCACACACCAGCCACATGCTGTGCTGCTCTTGGGTGGCTCAGAACCAGCAGCTCACCCACAGGACTCTGGTCTAGCAGGAGGCTGGGTTGACACTGCTAGGTTAGTCCCTTCCTGGTCCCAGAGAACTGGGACCCCCCCAGGTGCTCATAGGAGAGAGCTCTGCGCCAGTGTCTCTGCCTCCACAGCCTGGCCATCAGTGGGCCCTGCCCGTCACCCGCCCCCTGCCCCACTGACTCTCCAGAGCTGGGCGGCCAGCCCTCTATGCCCACAGGGAGGTCCAGGTGGAGGCGGTGCGTCACGAGCTGGCAGCCCTGCTGTCTTCTGTACAGCTGCTCAAGGAGGGCCAGCCGGTCCGGAAGATTGCTGAGATCCAGGGCAAGCTAGCCACCGTAGGCCCGGGCCCCGGCCGGTGGGGAGGGCAGTGGAGTCCGGGGTCTTGGGCTGTGAGAAGGAGGGGCCCTGTGGTACTTTCACCCACCCACCTCACCCCACCGATGGGGGCAGAGTCCCCAGGGACTGAGCTTCTGGTCCAGGACAACCAGCCCAGAGGGTGTTGCCTGGCCAGTCAGCTGTCCAGATGGGTGACCCGAGGAGTGTCAGCCTCCAGATTGGGAAGACAGGAGACTCCCACCCCGCCTACCGCCTAGTCCTAGCTAGCTATCAGACCCAGGTCCCCTCTGGCGCTATCTTATCGCGGAGAATGAGGAGGGGTGGGCCTGGCCTCAGTGGGGCTGTTTGGCAGCGCCCCCGCCCCCACGACGGCGGCGCCGTGTCCAGTTTCAGAGCCAGATCATGAAGCTGGAAAGCAGCATGCAGGACAACCAGATCATCCAGAAGCTCAAGTTTAATACGGAGACCAAGCTGGTGAGCCGCCCACCCACCCCGCCCCGCCGGCCCGCCTGCGAGGCTGCACGTCTGGTCTGGTTTGTGGCTGGGCCATGCGGACCCAAAAGCCAAGACCCTGATTTGCAGTCTGACTCCGCATCCCTTGGCCCGGCCCCTCGCCCCACCGCCCCTCACGGTCCCCCGCCCCAGTGACGCCCGTGTCCCGCCAGCGCGTGGAGGAGATCGCCACGCTGCGCGAGAGCGTGATGCGGCTGTGGAGCGAGGAGGGCCCGTGGGCGCTCACTTTGGGCAGCCGCCGGGTCCTCATGTCCCTGGTGCGCCAGCGATTCTTCGTCAAGGACGCGGCGCCCTGCTCGGAGGGCTCCGTGAACCACTGGGGCGTCTACCAGGCCGCCAGGTGGGCAGTGGGGCTGGCCTGGTCTGGCCTGGGCAGGGCGGGCGGGGCTCCAGGGATGGTCCCCGAGCCGCTGTCTGGCAGGTGGCTGCGGTGGAAAGCCGTCCTCCTGAGGCTGGTGGCCCGGCGGAGAGCGAGCGCGGCCCCGAAGTCCCGCGGCGCAGAGCCAGGCACGGACCCCCAGTCGCTGCCCCTACCCCTGCAATAAACCCGCTAGCACTCTAGACCCCAATTGGACCCCTCTGAGCCGCCTCTGCACAGACCCTGTGGGAGGGGAGCCAGTTGGGGAGGGTGACCAAGGTCTCCCAGCAATCCCCGCCTGGCAGGGACTCTGGGTGCCAGTGATGTCTGGCTAGGAGGGAGCGAGTCTCTTGACCCCCAAAAAACGCCCTCACCCAGGTCCTGGCAGAGCTCTAGCCAGATGGCCTCCACCATCAAGGCTGCTCCATCTCCCGGGCGCTGAGGGAGGAGGGGTTTCAGGCGGGAGCGGAGTTTCTGGGCAGTGGGCGGGGCATTGCGGCCCTCCCGGGACAGAGAAGTGGGTTTTGTTGGCTCGAATCTGGGCAGGGCCGTGGAGTTTGCTTGTAACTCAGAGCGCAGCGGCCCTTTTTCCTGTCCCGGAGAGAACAACAACAACCTAGCTGTGTCCCCGTAATGGCCTTGAACCCCCATAGTCCCGGGGTTGGTGGGCAATGACAGGAGCAGCTCAGCCCCCTGGGGCCCCAGCCTCTTGCGGGCTCCTCCCCCGTCCTATGCGCTTGCTCCCAGGGGGCCAGCCTGGAAGCGGAGGCGGCCGCCAGCTGCGGGGAGCCCAACCTCTCCTCCAGGGGTCCCCGGGGGGGCTCGTCCTGGTGGGGGGAGGCATAAGGCAGTCTTGTGTCCCCAGCCCTCTGGCTAGGCCTCGGGCAGCGACGCCTCGTCCAGGACTTGGCCGTCGGTCCCGGGGCCCGGCAGCTCGGGGCCAGCCTCGGCCGTCCAGTTGGCCAGCAGGTCACTGAAGTCCGGGGTGCCGGGATGCAGCAGGCCCAGGGCGTTGGGCGCCGGCTCCTTCCAAAAGGACGCGGGCAGCTGCCTCTGGGTCATGGGCGTGATGTGGCCGTACTTTCGCCGTAACCTCAGGCCGCGGCCCGTGCCAGGCCCCGCACAGCGGCCCAGCCCGTACTCGAACAGCTCGGCCAGCGGGCCCAGCGCCGGACGCTCGGCGGGCTCGGGCCCCGCCCCCTCCAGAGTCGCGCCGCGGGCCTCGCGCACCAGGTCGGCGTAGTAGCGCTCCCGGGCAGACCTGGCGGCTGGGCGACTTTGCCCGCACAGCTCTCGGGGTTCGGGTTCTGGCCGCTGCTCTTGGCGCCCAAAGTATCGCTGTATGTCGCCGCTGATGAGCTCTGAGAAGCGCAGCAGACGCCGCGCGGTCTCCGGGCTGCTCGTACCCTCAGGGGCCGGCCCGGGGGTTGCGCCTGCGCTGGGGAGGCACGGGCTGCAGCCCCCAGGCTCCTCGCTTTCCAGCGCAGCCACTTCCTCTTCCTCCTCCTCCTCCTCTTCCTCCTCCTCCCAGGTCTCTGGGGGCTCGGGCTCTGAGCGCAGGAAGGGCAAGTGGAAAGGGCTGGCCAGCTGGAAGTCCAACAGAGGCTGGGCCACCCTGGTCGCCATCTCCTCCCTGTCCTGGGGCCACCAGGCTCGGAGGGCAGCAGGTGCGGGCTGGAGGCAGATGGATAGGGGGACGGTGAGCAGTGGCACACCCCCTCCCCAGGGAGGCGGGGGCTGGCTAGGAGCTGTGTCCCTAAGGACAGGCCTGTCTCCAAGTCCATGCAGGAAAACATGTCCTTTCCTGCCCCTGGGGACACAGTCCACTTGCAGGAAGAGGACCATAGAGGGCTGGGTGTGGGGGTGGTGTGTGGGGTGTGGTGTGTGTGTGTGTGTGTGTGTGTGTGTGTGTGTGTGTGTGTGTGTGACAGGGTGAGGGGGCTTTGGATGGTGACTTGAAGGGTGAAAAATCGGGGAGTGTTGGGGAACCCCTGTGCCAGTGGGTGGGGAGAGGAGGGGATGGAGATAAGTGGCAGAGACTGTCCTGGGCACTGCCTGAGGGAGGAATCCAGGGGGCTGGGTGCAAGGGTTGGGGGGCTTGCCGAGGGGAGCGGAGCCCCTGGTCCGGGTTGTGATTGCTAGGGTATTGGTGGGTTGGTAGAAGGTGTTTCTCTGACAAGCAGGCCTGTGTTTTCCAGGGCGCTTCTGGCTGCTGATGGCGGGGTGGGGGTGGGGGGTCGGGGTAGGAAGGCTGGAGAGGGGCAGGCAGGCTGGCCCTCCTGAGGTGTCACTCCCTGTCTCCTAGTGCAGGCACTCCAAGGTTTAACTTGTCTTCCTCTGGGTAGAAGAGTGTAAAAGAGGTGCTCCCATTGGTGTCCCCAACCCAGAAGGGGCCCCCAGGAGGGTGGGAGTGGGGGTCCTGGGCAGGGCAGGGCTGGACTGGGTTTGGGGCAGTATCAGGGGAATTCGGAGGGGTGAGGGGAGGTGAGCTATGGGTAGGGTAGTCCTCCACTTGGCCAGCAGTCACTCTGGGCTGACTGAGCCCCAGAAGAAGACCTCTTCCCCAGGGAGGGGTACAACTGTCCCCTCATGGCTATGGAGTTCAGGGACACCAGTAGGAGGGCCGGAGGGAGGAAAGGGATTTGGTGCAAAAAGAGCTAGGCCCCCAGACAGTCAGACATGCTTTCGCTGAAGAAGGGGTATATCTGGACAGACGGCACCAGAAGTTCCGGCTCCCCCCACCAGCAGAAGATCCCCCCTCCTCTGCAAGCTCACAGGGTTGGGGCAGCCCAGGGTCAGGCAGTCCTAATGCTGGACTTTTAGGGGTGACTATTCTCAGTGAGACATGGGTGCCCCAGGCCCCAGCCTTGAGTCAGTCTGCTGTGATGGCCTCTAGGGGGTGAGTGGCCCCTATATACCAGACCCCTCACCCTCAGGCAGAGGGGCACAGCTGTGCGGGGAGGCCAGACCCCTGCACCCCTGGTGGCATGGCAGTCCCAGGAGAGTCCTGGACCCACCCGGCCCACACCCGCCAGACTCTTACCTGGCCCAGGTCCTGAGTGCTCTCTGGGCAGGCTGGCCCCACCTGGGGTCTCGAATTTATAGCTGTGCTGCAGCGGACGGCCGGCGGGCGGGCAAATATTTGGCGGTGGCGGCATTGTAATCGCAGACTGGGCAAACAGAGCCGTTTGCTTTAGCGCCCGGCAACCAGAGCCCCGCAGGGGGGGTGTGCTGGGCTGGGCCTCACCTGGCCGCCGCCTGCCGGGGGACCCTGGAGTGTTTGCCTCCAGCCCAGCTGGCTCCCGCCCTTGGTCCGAGGGCTCTTATCTCCACAGCGATCCTGGCCCGACCAGGCCGTGTCAAATAGGCGGAAAATTAAATTTCATGCTATTTTGACTTCTGGAGTAGCCTTATCCAGAGAGCACCCTCCCTCCCTAGGGGCTGGGAAAATGGGTCCCAATGAGGGCCAGGGCCAGGGTGAGGGGGCTGCCACCACCCTGCCAGGTCACTGTCTTTTCCAATTGCCTCGGAGCCAGGGGGACCTAAGTGTGTCTGGGGGGAACTAGGCGGCACAGGCCTTTCAGTGGCTGCTTTTCTGGGGAGGACATTGTCAGGATTTCTTCTGAGGGTCCAAATGGGATCAGCTGGCTGACTGCATGATCCAGCCAGGCCTATGAACCAGTTCCCGTGGGGCAGCCGTCTGTGTGTGTGTGTGTGTGTGTGTGTGTACAAGCACGAAAAGGGGGTGCCAAGGGCTGGGTGTTCTGGGAAGGACTCTACCAGGCCAGTCTGCCAGGCAACTGTGGGCGCAGATGCCACCCTTTGAGTTATCGGCCAAGTGCATCAACCACCACCGGCAGCAAGAGGACTCCCCTATCCTGTTCCTTGATTCCAAAGGGGCTGGTGTCCAAGCTCTGTGCTCGGGACAGTGGTGGTGACCCCTGACATTAGGGGAACCAAACTCAGAAACCAAACTCTGCCCTCTAGTTGATGCCAACTCATAGCCACCCTACAGGACAGGGTGGAACTGCCCCTGTGGGTTTCCAAAACTGAAATTCTTGATTGGAGTAAAAAGTCTTGCTTTCTACCTTGGAGTGGCTAGTGGTGTTGAACTGCTGACTTTGATGTTAGCAGCCCAGTGGGCAACCAAGACATGACCAGAGACTGAAGATTCATCTTGAGCCCGGGGCCCTAGGGCCAGCCAGGCCTGGACTTGCTGAGTAGGCCTGCAGGACTGAGGGTGCTATGTGACAATGTGGGCTGGTTCTGGGTGCGGCAGGGGCTGCAGGGACCGGGGGTGGGGGTGTGGGGGGGCGGGTACTCAGGCTGGGCCGAGGCTGTGCTCCTGGCTGCCTTCCCTCAGGCCGGCCACTTGACAGCAGTGCCCTCTGCTGCTCAGTACAGGAAAGACAGACGAGCTGGACAGGCCACCAGCAGCTCTGAAGTCCCAGTAGGAGGCTCACTCGGGTCCCCCAGCACACCCCTCCACCCCCACCCCCTCCCAGGAGGGTGGGCATCCAGGGCGCTCAGCTGGCTGTGGTCAGGGTTGGAGGTTGGAGGAGGCACTGGGCCCTGTCCTCAGGGTCTTGGGGTGCACAGTGAGGCTAGGGTGTACTCAAAGAAGGAAATCCACTTTGGGGATGGTCTGGAGTAGACGGGGGCCCACAAGAGCTCCACAAGGGGCTGGGGTGTCAACGCTAGTCCCGCCTGAAAGACACCACATCCTAGTCCCTGGCCCAAAGACAGCATGCTCGAGTTCCCCTTGGAAGCTGTGACTGACCTCACATGGCCCCGGGCCCTGAGGGTGTGATTCCTGTCAAGGATCCTGAGGTGGGAGACCGCCTTGGACGACCTAAGTGGGCCCCATAGCCTCACAGGGGCCTGGTGGGGTACGGGGTGTGGCAGGAGGGGGAGGCGGGAGAGCAGAGCAGGTGCTGTGCTGCCAGTTTGGAAGATGGAGGAAGGGGGGGGGCGGCATGTCTTGGAGCCTCTGAGAGGAGAGGGGAGAGGACATGGCCCTGCCAGTGCAATGCTTTAGCTAGAAGGCCTGTCGGACCCCTTACCTCCAGCCTGTGAGCTGGATACTCAAGTGAGCTGATGGTTTTGTGGGAATCTTGTCCCAGCAGCTGCAGGAAACCCACACATAGGACGGGTGGTGGTGGGGAGGCTGGGAGCACAGAAGAGAGGCATGGGGGGGCCAGTTGTATGAGAATGTATGTCTGGCACCTAGTTGGGACCATCCGAACACCTCAATCTTCCCTCCTCTGTGCCCCAAATCCCTGAATGTGAGGACAGATAGGATGCAGGGAGGAGGCAGGTGGCAGCACGCTGCCCTAGACCCTCATTTTAATACAGGGTGCAGGCATGAGGCCTGGGGTCAGTGAATCTGCCTGTTGTCCACCCACCCTCCTTCTGGACTGGCTTTAGGACACACAGGTCCCGTGGTGATGGCATCAGAGGCCCACTGTGTTACTAGGGGGGCTGGCAGCCTAGTGTGGGGTGGGGTACTCCAGATCCCTGTGGTAGAACAGAGGGCTGGGCAGCCAGGTTTGGGGAGCCAAGTATATATCCTTCATCTGCTCCCAGCCAGTGTCTCTAGTGGTGGGCAGTGCCAGGCCTGCTCCCTGCCCAGTGTCACACCTCCCAGCCCCCCAGCAGAACTCTGGCCCAAGTATCGATCTTCCAGAGGAAAATCAATAGTTCCAATATGTCAGCACTCAAGAGGCGCGACAATAAATTACCCAAGCCATTAAGCACACAAGGGCTGCTGCCTGGTGTCCCCATTAGAGGGACATTAGCTTTCCGGTGACATTGCTCTGTGTGCTCTGAGATGGTGGCAGCCAAGGCACTGGGTGTGGGGGAGGAGCTGCACCTGAGAGGCCACCCAAAGGTCACCATGGCACCTGTCACCCTCCCAGGCTCACTGGGGTTAAGAAAGAGAGAGCAGGACCCACAGGAGCCCAGAAACCACCCAGTCAGTGGGGGCCTTGCCTTAGAGTCCTATTGCATGGGGTGGGGGTGGGGCGGTAACTATAGCCTTCTCACCACCTACCCATGGGGACACACCGGTGCCCATCTTTGGTGCTGGTTGTAGAGGGGGACTTTATCCAGGTGCCATGCAGCTATGTGCCACCTAGGTGCCAACGACCCCAACTCAGGGAACTGCCCCATGAGGTCCTCTAAGCTGTCTCCTTTACAGGAGGAAGAAAGGAGTGGTGGCCGTCCGGAACTCCTATGGGGCAAAGTGCACTCACTTTGCAGCCTGTGAAATGGAACAAACCATGTCTGCACTGTTGAGTGAAAAAGTGAATGGCTCCGCAAACCTCCCAAATCACATTGAAAAGTAGACAAAGAACAAGAAAACTTCTGGGGAAGTTCTACTCTGTCTCGTAGGCACGCTGAGTGGGAATCCAATCACAGTTGGGTATCTCAATGGGTGCCGAACGCTTTGGCCTTTTTCAAGTGCGTTCAATACTCCATCTGCCGGGTGAGCAGCCAGTGTTTAACAACTGCGCCACCAGGGCTCCGTAGGGGAGGGAGCTTAGGCTAAGGAACTTTGTTCCTGGGGGCGGGTCTAAGGAAGTGACTCTGTTCTGGATTGGTGCTGCCAGGGCAACGAGTCAGTCTTTGATTGGGCATTGTATTGATTTTTTACCTAAGGGACGGGACTTTGGAGCAAGGCTACGGTGGTGGTTGGTCCAACAGAGCCGTCACTCATGGTTCCGCCCAACGTGATCCTCCCTCCATCCCTCCCTCGATCGCTCCCCCCTCCCCTCCAATGTGCTGCCAGTCTTGACTCCTTAGGGGCTCATTTTATGAGAAAGCTGAGGCTTCTGAAGCTCAAGACCCCCTAAAAGATGGCGCAGTGGCCCCTGGGGCTGGCCGGGAGCCCCAGCCTGCCCTCATCGTTATCCCGGGGTGCCCATACAGGCAGCCGCCCTGCCCCCACCTTCCTCTAGGAAGCCCTCTGGGTGCCACAGGCAGAATGATCCAGAGCCTGCTGCTCACACCGCAGCCCTTCCAGGGTCCTTGCAGGCCGGGTGGTTTGGGATGATTCTCATGGGGCTCTGGGGCGCTGAGGGACAGGTGAGGCGGAGCCCTGGGCAGACAGGTGCAGGTGTCACCGTTGACAGACCGGCTCGTACTGCAGCCCAGGGCTGGGAGTACTCGCTCGGGATCCAGCCGGTGGCTCATCGCCCTTTGGTGTCCCTCCCTCGCTCCCCGCGTCGCAATTGGGAGGCTCCAGCGAGCCCGTTTGCCTTCGAGCCAGATTCGGAACTACATTTCCCGTCATACACTTGCAGTCCGCCGGGGTCGGAGCCTGCAGCGGAAGACACCGCCAGAGGGACATACGCCATTTCCTGTGCGCGGCTGGGCTCACGTTTTGTGGTCGTGCCTGGAGGCCTGGAGCTGCGTCCGGCTTCCGGTTTGGCGCGACGGAAGTGACGGAATTATGGCGCGCTGCGGCGCTGAGCGCGGAGCCGAGGTCGTCATGAGCCGTGTCCTGTGTGCCCCCGCCGCCCGGTGAGCTGCGCGCGGTTTCGGCGGACCGAGGGCGGGAACCGGCGGGAGGACGACCGGAGCCTCCATTCACTGCTCTCTCTCTTCCAGGGCCGCCAGGGCGCTGAGGCTCGTATCGTGGACCGCCCAAAGCTTGCACTCGCCGTCCAGGGGTCGGGCTCAGGCCCGACCAGTGGCCCACGGGGAGGAAGAGGACGACCGTAACGAGCCCATTCAGTTTTCCTCCAGCAACGCCAACCCGTCTCGCTGGACGGTGGCTCATTCCCTGGGGAAGATGCAGCAGCGGCCCTGGTGGAAAGTGCTGCCCCTGAGCTTCTTCCTTTTGGCCCTGGTCGTCTGGTGCTACCTGCGGCAGGAGAGCAGCACGGACGAGTGGCTGAGAGAGGTGCTGGGAGAAGAGGCAGAGCCCAGTCTCGACCACGAGGAGCTTGGGCCTGGTAACGAGACGAGAACTTAGAGGAGTGCCCGCTGGCAGGAAGGGAACAGGCACAGCCCTTCGGCTGGGGTGTCGCGCTGGACGGTTTCTGGCCAGCACTGCAGGCCTGGGCGAATGGCGCACTCCGCCACCGCTACCTGCCCGAAGAAGGGGCAGAGTCTTCACCGAATGAAAACCGCGCCTTATCTAACAGGATACCCAGTGAATCCGTCCGGGACTCTTCAGATACATAGGAAACGTTTTCAGTGTTCATGTGTTTGTGTAGTTTCACATCCCCAGGGCCATTCTGGTGACACTTTGTCACCAGCGTTGCTTTCAGAGGCAGAATGCTGAGGAGCAGAACCATACTGACACTGATGTTCCAAAACTCCCTGCCATCGAGTTGGTTCCGATGGACCGAGGCGTGCATAAATAAGATCCACCGATGCTTTACACACCGACACACCAGAAATAAAAGTTTAACTTTTCCCTTCTGAAAACCGGATTTTAAAAAAGGGTGGTGGAGAGAACGGGTTAGTAGGGAAACGACCATATTTATCCGTTTGTCTTTTTCATTTTAATTTAAGAAGCGAGGAAAGAAACCTCGATGATCCGGTGGCATCAGAAATAGCAAACCTTTTTAGCATTCTGCCAAACTTTGTTTCACAAGGTAGCATCTCTCTGATGCATAGAACCAATGAGTCCATTCTTTCAGGAAATTATGGGCAATGCCTTGTGTTGCCTAAATGACTTTCCCCCCCTCTAAGTGACTGCTTACTAAAGCAAATCGGCTTAACTCTGAAAAATAAAAGATTCGTGAGGGGTTACAGAGTCTCTGGCTTGCCGTGGATTTGTTACAATGAACCGAAATAACCATTTGGTTGTGCTTTTTTGTTTTGTTTTGCATCTTAACAGTAGCAAAAAGAACCCTGAAGGTGTAGTCGGTGTTAATTGGGCACAAGGTCAGCAGTTTTTAAACACCAGCTGCTCTCTGAAGAAAGATGAGGCTTTTTACTCTCAGAAATAGGTACATTCTGGGAAGCTTCCTGGGGCATTTCTCCCTGCCCTAGAGGGTCTCAGAACCGACTCAGTGGCATGAGTTTTGGGCTTTATATAAAATGTTGCAGGAGGTAATGTGATAATGTTATCATTCACTTGCAGGTATTCAAAGACTGGATTGTTTAAGATACTGGTAATAAAAAGTAATCTTGAAAATGTGGAGGGAAGAGTGGTATGGTACTGCCCCCAGAACTGAATTCTATCAGCAGGAACCCTCAGGCCTTTGTGCTGGAAATACTTCCTGCATTTACCCCACACCGTAAATTACCTGTGCAGAGGGGCCAATGGACACACAATGTTTTTTCTCTTTATTTTAGGGACAGATCTAGAATTGGGAAGGCTAGGCACCTCGACTCAGGTGACCTCGTCTCTGCAGGTAAAGCGCTGTCTCCTGGCCTCCTTGTGACTGGCTGGCAGTGAACCGTTTGGTCAGCGTGGCCTTCATTCTGAGTCTCTGAGAGTGCCCACCTGATTCTGTAGGAAGAGCAAGTGAAACTGATGGGAGATGCCAACTCTGCTATCCCGTAGGACCGCCCCTGTGAGTTTCTGAAACTCAACAGAAAAAGGTCTATGGAAACGAATACACAAAAGGGAGAGAATGAGAAGGGAAGGAACCACTGGATGCTTTGAGTTTTACCTTCCAGGCTTTCCCCACATACATATATTCAATTTTTAGAGAAAATTATGAATCATAATTTGATTATGATTCATAATCACTATTATGAATCACGATAGGTTCATAATAGTTCCCCCAATAACAACTTCACAACAGAACAGATGTGTATCGTGATTTGGGTGAAAGTACAGAGTAAATTGGTTTTCCACATGCCCGCACCTTGACTATCTCCTTGGTGGGAGGGGAGGGAATCCCTGAGGGCTTTTCTGATTTCCTCCTGGCCTCCCAGATGAGTAAACATTGTCTTGGAAAGGAGAGCCAGAACCTGCCTGGCAGCAGTGGGTAGGTCATCCTCCACCAGGGCTTTCCCACATGGGATGCCAAACCTGCCTGGTGGGTGAGCTGCAGGAGTTCCGTTCATGGTTGAACTACCTTTAGAGTGGGTGCTGTGAGTTAGTTTTAGACGCAAAAAGACGCCACGGTTCAGCAGAATGAAACACTACCCTGCCCTGCGCCATCTTGGCCACTGGCTGTTCGTGTGTTCGAGGCCGTTGCTGCAGCCACTGCTATCAATGTGGCTCCCTGAGCGTCATCTTTCCGATGAGCCTCTCCCGAGCAGGGTGGCCTCTAAGCGCTGGTTCCTCCTGATAGCATGCCTGATGGCTCTTAGGGAACGTCTTGCCACTTTGGCTTTTAAGGAGCATTCTGACTTCTTAAGACAAGTGGTGGTTCTGGCAGCCCCTGGTCTAGCCCAGCAGTTCTCAACCTGGGAGCCGCAATCCCTTTGGGGGTCGAGAGACCCTTTCACGGGTCGTCCGATTCATAACAGTAGAAAATGACAATGAAGTTGCTAGGAAAATAATGTTATGGTTGGGGGTCACCACAACATGAGGAACTGCTTGAAAGGGTCGCAACATTGGGAAGGTTGAGAACCACTGGTCTAGTCAGTGATCTTTGCCAGCCCCATAACTCAAAGGCATCAGTTCTCTTTACCTGTTGTCCAGATGTTGCGTGAATGTGTGGGGATGGGAAGTACGCTGTATGTAACTTCTCTATCTCCCAAGGGACTTTGCGCTGTACCCATTTCATGTAAGTGCTGAGCAAGCATTTTGGATGCTCAAGGTAAGCCTGGTAGACTGGAAGTGGTGACAGAAATAGTGTGTGTGTGATAAAGAGATGGAGAGATCCTTTCAAGGAAAAGGAGATGAACGGAACGGCCACTTGTAAACTGGTGGCGAGCAGCCTCGAGAGACGGCCGGGCTCCGTCGCCCCTCACCCTGCGAGAAGAGGAGCATTCTGCAAACGCTCCACAATGACGATGTGCTTTGCTCCAGGCAGAAGCCCAGTGGGTGAGGAGGCGCTGAGCGCATCTTCCCTCCCACCTCTGCAGCAGAGCACCCCAAATCTCCATCTCAAACTCAGTTTCCTTCATGGGGTTCCGACTGCCTGTCCCCTGGCCATGGGTGGGTTACCAGATGAGCTCATAAGTTCCGGAATGCCTGATTTCCAAACTGGAATTCACTTCCCCACCAACCTTCTTTGTTCCAGATTCCACTTGATTTCCACCATTCTGGCCTTGGAGGAGTTAACCTAGCCCCACCGCTCCTTGTCCAGGCCCTTTGATGCCTCTCCCTCGGAATTCATGAGCCCTGCCTCCCACCCCCCAGCCATTCTCCCAGTAGCTTTTCCAGTAGCTCTTATTGGGTGGTATTAATTTCAACATTTTCCGTAGTAGTGATAACTTGGGGAATTTGAAGGTAAGAAAACAAACCTTCATCTTACCAGCTCATAAAAAGATGATTTTTCATTGTTATATTACTGTTATTTGCATTTTAAAGCGTACATAACCAGGTCAAATATAGAAACTCCATCTTTTTCAGTGTAAACGTTTTCACATTGTTTCTTGCCTTTTTTAAGGGAAAAAATGGCACTTTGCGAGAGAGACACTACAAATCCTTCAAATACATGATTTTATTTTCTGCAGGAAGTCAGACTGCCCTTGTTAGGAGTGCTCTTTGTTTTGTTATGTGTATATATTTCTTTAAGCCCTTGCCTCGGCTTTTCCCATCATATAACATAAGCTATAAGAACAATTTATATATATCCATATATATATAAATTACATATATATATATGAAACAACCCATGATTTTATTTTCAGGAAAATCACCTGGTGAGACTGGCATTTGAACTATACTCTCCAAAGCCACTTCTACTGTGTCTTTCAGCATTTGTCCCATTCATGGTGATTTCCTTAACCTGGTCCCTAAGTAAGTCCCTTGAGCCGCTAGAAGCCACCTCAGAAAGAGTTACTAAACAACTTTGAGGGAAGTGCGTTTTTAAACCACATTGTTTTTATCATGATTTGGGTGAGAGTAAGTCGATCCGTGTTCCATTCAACAGCTGACAATGTTTTGTGTTCATTAACGAGGGCACACCACGGACTCTTAACTACCCTGTAAAAAAACCCAACTCATTGCCATCGAGTTGATTACAACACATAGCGACCCTATGGGAGAGGGTGGAACTGCCTCTCTGAGTTTCAGAGACTCACTTTAGGAGAATAGAAAGCCTGTCTTTCTCCCACGGAGCTGCCCGTGGGTCTTTTAAACCGCCACATCGCAGCCCAATGCACAACAGCTGTGCTACCAGAGTAACACTGCTTCTGCGGCTTCTGAGGCTGTACAGCTTTTGGGGAGCACCAAGCTTCATCTTTCCCCCAAGTTGGGGCTGGTGAGTTCAAACTGCTAACCTTGTGTCAGCTGCCCAGTGCATAATCCACGACGCCCCCAGGGCTCCTTCAAGTTGCGTAGCACTCATAATTTAAACCCTTTTTTGCTATTGGGCAAACCTTTTGCTAGATGTCTCTTGATAGCTGTCTTTGTATATACACCGGTGTTTGAACCTGAGTTTCAAGCTGTCTCTGACAAGCACTCACTTCCTCCCCATCCAGGGCCCACCTGCTAGGCACCAGGTGTGCGGGTGCCTGTGCACCTGGGTGCCTGCTCTGCTCCCCACCCCACTACCGCCCTGGTCCCGACACGCGGTAGAAACACCTGCGTTGGAGACCTTTCACGGGGCTGTGACCCTCCGCACACCTGTCAGCACTCACACCCATCTACCCCAATGGCTGGGTTCCCTTGTGGCGCCAGCACCTGTGTGTGGAGGCTTCCAGGAGTTTGCAGCATGCAGGGGAGGGGCGGGGTAGTCATGGGTGCGTGGCGTGGGTGCCCGAGTTGCCGTGGCGCGGCATGAGCCTGGGGTGCGCATGGGGCGGCGGGCGTGGCTGGTGCCCCAGGTGGTTCCCCAAATTTGCGGGGTTGGGGTGAGGCTGAGGTGCGCGCGATGCAGGGATGCTGCGCGGGGCCGTC